TTGTGAATGAGTCCCACTCGGGGCCATCTTCCATTCCCCCAAAAAATTGACACCCACTTGGTGAAGACGTCAGTCGGCCGTAAATTGCGTTTTAAGCTTTAGCTCTCCACTGTTACCCGTAAGGACAGTGACAGCTTTGCCACCAGAAGAAAGCAATCTTCGGCGGAGAGAGATGTTTATGAAGAACGTTGGTAGTTTCTGGAAAACTGCCTTCCCTATGGTCCCAGACAACGGCCTTCCTAGCAGCACGAGATACGACCGCGGTATGCCAGTGCTCAACTTGGCATGCCAAAACAATGATGTACTTGAGGTCGTCTGTTTCTGGAATGTGCCACTGTATCAGTGTTCCGTGACATAGTGTTATAAAGAAAAAGGAAGCACAGGTCGTCGAATCTAAAGTTTGAAGAAATGCCTCTATCACTGTTGTCGACAACTTCTCGTAACCATTTAAGTTGCATTTCTCTCCGATGCTGACAAGTGGCAGCCGCCGGTCTGGTATGCTATAGACACTCTGGTTGTTGGTATTGGGTCTTTCTTTATTTGCGCTTCTTTGGTGTGGATAATTATTCTTGAAATTTGGGTAACATTGTTTTATCTCTTTGGTTAATAAAAAACCATGTTTGACGACAAGCTCTTCGACGCTGCGAAAACCTTCGTTGTCGTAAATGCCCGAATGTTTCTTCCGTACGTGATGTTCCTGTCCATTTGGTTGGAGTATATATCCACACGTACCACATAAGATTGTTGATACGTCTTTGTATGTCCCGGGTTTTAAGTTAAACCACCTAGAGTCTTAATATCGGTAGTAATAAGTTTATAGGAAGGTAAATTAACAGAGGGGTAAGAGGGTAAGGCGTGTTTTGAAAACCGATATAATGAAAGGGAGAAGACAGAGGACAGAGGATAGAGGAAGAGGGGGAAGGAAGAGGGGGAAGTGGACAGAGGAAAGGGATAAAGGAAAAGGACAGTGAAGGAAAAGGACAAGGGAGGAAAAGGGCAGGGGAGGAAAAGGATAAGGGAGGAAAAGGATAAAAGAAATGGATAAAGGATAGGGGAGGAAGAGGATAAAGGAAAGGAAAAGGAAGAGGAAAAAGAAAAAGAAGAAGAAAAGGAAGAGGACAGAGGTAAAGGACAGAGGAAAAGGACAGGGGAGGAAGAGGACAAAGGGAAAGGAAGAGAAAAAGGAAAAAGAAAAGAAAAAGGAAAAAGAAAAGGAAGAGGAAAAGGAAAAGGAAAAGGAAGAGAACAGGAAGAGGACAGGAAGAGGACAGGAAGAGGACAGGAAAAGGATAGGAAGAGGATAAAAAAGGATAGGAAAGAGATAGGAAGAGGATAAGAAAAGGATAGGAAGAAATAAAAAAGGATAAAAAAGGAAAAAAAGGATAAAAAAAAATAAAAAAAATAAAAAATAAAAAATAAAAAATAGAAAATAAAAAAAAAAATAAAAAAAATAAAAAAAATAAAAAAAATAAAAAAAATAAAAAAAAATAAAAAAAAATAAAAAAAAATAAAAAAAAATAAAAAAAAATAAAAAAAAATAAAAATAAAAAAAAAATAAAAAATAAAAAAAATAAAAAAAAATAAAATAAAAAAAAAGGATAAAAAAAAATAAGAAAAGGATAGGAAAAGGACAAGAAAAAAACAAGAAAAGGACAAGAAAAGGACAGGAAAAGGACAGGAAAAAGACAGGAAAAGAACAGGAAGAGGACAGGAAAAGGACAGGAAGAGGACAAGAAGAGGACAGGAAAAGGACAGGAAGGGGACAGGAAGGGGATAAGGGAGGAAGAGGATAAGGGAAGAGGATAGGGGAGGAAGAGGATAAAGGAAAAGGTCGTATTTCTTTAGTGGTTAAAATATGACTTTTTTCAGCCGTACGTTATGATTGGCTCTAATACCTGGTTTTAACCCACTAATATTTCCAGATATATAACCTTATAAAGTAACTTGGAAGTCACCCTCGTTTCAGTTATTTACCAGTCAACTCAGTGACTTCTCGATATTAACAAACGCTAGGACCAGTAAGACGCGTAGTGTATACACACGTAAGTTTCACGCACCGTATTAAATTTAGTAATATTTTAACCACTTAAAAGATAAACTTACGACTTACACGTCTTAACGTTATTTAAGTTAAACCAAGTTCCATAATAACTCGGGGCGGTAATATTTTTATATTCAATAATATACTGTTTACCCTTTTAAGTTTAACGCGTCACCAAATTAAGTATAACGCCATTTCTAACCGTACGCCGCATATGTCATGGCATGCCCAAACACCGTTGAATCTACGGGGATTCAACGGGGTTTCACCGCTTATGTCAGCCAGGCCTTACTAGCGTGCCTGCTGGGCGCGGCCCGTCAGCATGGCCGCCGCCAGCCGCCAGGGCCTTGGCCAATTGTCAGGCACCTACAGGCCCCTTCCACTTACTTGTCATCCGCCAGAGATTCTACGGTGCATCGCAGAGTGCCTATGCACTCCCCTCTATAGCTGGCCGCCAGCCTCTAAGGCCAGGGCGCCTTCTGCGTGGGTGCCTTAGGCATGAGTTGATTCAACGGGGAATCTACGGTGTTTCTACAGATAACAATATAAGCTCATCCGAGCCCTCTCCTCTCGATGAGGCGGGGTAAGGATTAGATTTTGCACATCCTACTACCTACGTTTTGGCTGTCTTGCTTCGTGATCCTCTCTCTATTGAACCCCTATCCCTAGGACCCTCTGACACAGGGTCTGGTTGAAATACAGGTGTGTAATATAGGGGTGGAGAATAACCTTAGGAGTGGTATTGGTCTAGTCTTAATCGAGGCCGCTTTTGAAAAGCGGTCTCGATTAGGACTAGACTGCCTTTGCCGAACATTGTATTTATACGAGACAAATGGTTAACACAGACCTGACGACGTTCGAAGTATGTTCATTGTGTTGGGTATGCCGGGCTTGCACGCGTGGGGGTCGGCTCGTCGCGCATCTTCTTCCCAAAACTGTCCAAACTGCAGAATGCAAGGCTGTTTGTGAATGCATATATCAGGCTGGCACACCGCCAGAACAGAAGTGCCAGTTTCGGATCCTAGCGGCAACGCTTGGTCGGACCCCTCGGACAGAGCAAACGAAAATCGCACACCCCGGACAGCATCACGAGCAGCCATTCGTGATGATTCTCGGGCGTAGGCGACGAGGTTCCATCTGTGTCAGGAATTCAAGATGGACAGAGGGAGGTCTCGCCATAGCACATTTTGAAAAACTATTTAAATCGGCTTCGTCTGCCCTGTGTTGATGTTTTTTGTCTTCTCTTTTTCATCCATCAACAGCATCCAACTACAAAGTCTCAAAACAATCTTTTCGGAGCATTCTACTCAGAACACTCTTCCCATAGCAATCTTCTCAGAGCAATCTACTCAGCAAAAGAACCAAAACAAACCACAGGTAAGACATCCATCAATAAGCCGTGCTGGCAACGAGCTTCGACTGACCCGTCTTGGAAGCACAGGCACGCGATACAACCCGATCGAGATGCCGAGCGATGTCCTCAAGTGTCCCGGTGGCTGCGGAATGAACATTTCGACGACGCAACCCTATAACACGTGTCTCAACTGTCCCGCGAAGTCGAAGAAGTCAATCACTGCCAAGACGATGGGTGAACGGTTGGATGTACGGGATCAATGTGTGATAGTTCCTTCTTCTACTTAGATAGCTTAGCTACATTTTAGTGGAAACTACGATTCCTCCTTGGCTCTGTCCATCTTCTCCAGAAGCGTGAGCAGGTGTGGCATTTCCACCTCGTCGCAGTGCTCCCGCAGCCACTCGCGACCCTGATCGATGTCATCCAACTCACCCTCCAGCGGCGCGCCAGGTCCCTCACGCGTCCAGTATGGACGCTCAAACCACTCTGGCCAGAACCCGGCATATTCCCAGTCGACGATGGCGTTGATTTTGAGTGTCTCGGGGTCGACCAGGACGTTGTACTGGCTCAGATCGTTGTGGCAGAAGACGTAGTCGCCCTTGGGGAGGTCCGCCTTGGGCCGCCAGCAGGTGTGACTTTTCCAAAAGTCACGGTGCATGCGCAGCGGCGGACAGAGGAGAGTCTGGCCTGGCACGCCCGGTGTGTCGGAGCGGAGCGACTTGAGCGTGGCCAAGTGCACCATTAGCTCCTTTGTGACGACGTCCTTTTGCTCGGGCGTGAAGTGCACCATGCTGATGCCCGGGACGAACTCGGTACAAAAGTAAAAGGCCCCGTCGTCCTCCATGGTGTGCCGGAAGCGGGGAACGGGAATCGAGGGGGCGTGTTCCTGCAGATACTGCAGGACCGCGCCGTCGGTCGTCCATCGCTGCGGCAAGTTGGCTGGAGGCTTCCAGCCAATCGTATTTTCGATCCATTCGTGCCGGCGCAAGGTACGCTTGACGAACGACGACCCGATTTCAAAGTATTTCTTGTCCTGCGTGATGCCCGTACATTCGGGCTCGCGGTGCTTGTTCATATCCTGATGCGAAACCATTGTCTCGGGAGAGTTTTGGGACGTGGTGAAGAGGTGAAATGACGTCTATAAGAGACGAGAAGTGAGAAGATGAGAGATGAGAAGATGAGATGATTAAATGTGAAAAAAATGAAAAGTGAGATGTTGGGATGATGGGATTATGGGAATATGGGAAGATAAGGACAACGAGAAAGGCAAGAACGCAACACAACAAGAGAGGGGACGAGAAATCATGCAACACAAGATAATAGGCGCCCATACCCGCGCGTAAATTAGGCAGGCAATATGCAGGATGCAGACCGAAGCAAGGGTGCTTGACCAATGAAACCGGCGTATCACATCCGTGTCAAACCGAACCAAGGCACGATGCACTTTGCATTTACATTTGTTCGCGCCCGAATTCATTCATGCTTGGTATGGAGTAGTTTGAGATGATAAACATGTACATTATTTCAAAAATACTCCGCTCACAAATACTGTTCGCTCAAAATACTGCTCCGCTCACAATACGGCTCCGCTCAATACTGCTCCGCTCACACAACCTCCTCCACCGGATTCTCCTCGTCCAGCTGCTGCAGCTTCCCACCGGCAGTCGTCTCCAGCGCGGTGACACGGCTGCCGGCGCCGTGGGTCTCGGCGGTCTTGAACTGGCGCGCCGGCGTGCGCGCCTGGAACAGCTCGTCGAGTTCTTCGAGCGAGCGGTCTTTGGTCTCGGGGACCCAGAGGTAGGTGGCGACGGCGCAGCCGAGCGCAATGGCGCCAAACACCCAGCCGATGTTGGCCCCGATGTCGTTGAGGATGTAGGGGACGCAGAAGCTGACGATGAACGCCGTGACGACGTTGAGGGCAATGCCGAGCGAGAGCGTCTTTTCGCGCAGGTCGGCGGCGCCCATTTCCGCGGCGACGGTAAACACGAGCGGGCCCCAGGTGCCCGAGTAAAAGAAAAAGTAGAGCATGACGCCGGCGACGAGGGCGCGCCCGTCGGTGCCGTCGGGGTTCTTGGCGAGGCCGACGCCGGCGACAAGGAACAAAAACACGGTCTGGGCAACGGCGCCCCAGATCAGAATGGGCCGGCGGCCGACAAAGTCGCTCGCCAGCATGCCCAGCAGGCAGCCGCCCCAGCCAATGGTGGAGGAGCCAATGTTGTAGTTGAAGGCGTTGGCGGAGAGGCCGACGGTGGCGTAGAAGCGCGGCGAGTAGCCAGAGACGAAGCCCTGGCCCAAAAACTGCTGGATGCCGAGCAGGCCGACGGCAATGGCCGACCGCCGCAGGTTGGTGCCGCGCACCATGTCGGTCCAGGGCGCTTTGCGGTCGGGCTGGCTGTGCGCCGCCAGGGCCTCTTCAATGGCGTCCATCTCCAGGCGGCTCATGCCGGCGCGCACGTCGTCCTGCGGGCGGAGGCGGTCCAGGACGGCGACGGCCTCGTCCTTGCGGCCCTTGCTGAGCAGCCAGCGCGGCGAGCTGGGGATGAAGAAGGTGCCGACAAAAATGAGGACGGGGATGGCGGCCTGGAGGGCGACGGGGACGATCCAGCCGGCGCGCGTGGCGTTGGTCGAGAAGCCGCGGTTGACGCCGGCGGCAAAGATCTGGCCAAAGAGGTTGAAGAGCTGGATCGACCCGACGACGGTGCCGCGCATGGCGGCGGGCACAATCTCCGACTGGTAGCCACTGTCAGGTTAGCAGACTTGAGCCTTGAGACTTGCGGCAGATGCAGCACAGCAGGACACAACAGGACACGGCAGGGACATACGTCGACGTCACTTCGGCAAGGCCGACACTAAAGTAGATGATGATGCGGCCGACGATGAACTGGGCAATCGACTTGGACGTCGACTCGATGATGATGCCGACCCAGACGACGACGACCAGCGTCCAGATGGCCACCTTGTGGCCCCAGCGCTCGACGAGAAACGGCGCCACGAGCGCGCCGACCAGCTTGCCCGCAAAGGCCGTCGAGGACGTGTACGACGCGCGCGCCGGCGACAGGGCGTACTTGCCGCTGCCCGGCTTGGTTTCGGCGCCAAACTCGCGCGTGAACCCGGGGATGCTCTGCACGCCCGAGAAGCTGGTGGTCTCGTAGCCGAAGATGATGTTGATGAGCGCCGAGATCATCCAGGCCGAGAAGAGCGGCCATGTCATTTTCTGGAAGACGTAGCGGGCGGACAAGATGTTGTTGCGGGCGCGCTGGCGGGCAGACAGCGGCGGCGGCGATGCCCCAGCGGCGGCATCAGCCGGTGCTGCGACGGAAACGGATTCTTTCTCCATGGTGAACGTTGCGTTTGATGACTGACAAGCAATGGACGTGGCAGTTCACATCGACTCGGTTGCAGGACTGCAGATCGCTTGGCGAGCATTCTTATAACAAGTCAACGTGCATCGTAAGGCGACAGGAGAAAGCGAAGAAAAAGAAGGCAGCCACCACGCCGTCTCCACGCATCAACACCACGTCCGATCACAACATCGACACGAGATGTGGCGTGTGCGTCGAGACCTCGTCGGTGCCGGACAGGGGTGCCTCGTGCAAGGGTGGCTCGTTTGTCGTCTGCAGGGCTGTCCGCATCCTCAACACGTTCCTCTGCATGCGGTTGCCGTTCGAACGTTGTCCCAAAAGGAGGGCGTGGAAGACTCGCGGTTCGTGGATGTCGCCCCAGGGTCGTTGATTACGGCTTTGTCTGTTGTCACTAGCGCCAGCACGCCATGCTGACCCTGGGTCCGTTGTCGCGGCCGTCGCGGCTGTCGTGGAGTTAGAGATACGTGATTGGCTCGCTGACGGCCGGCAGAGACGAGCGACCCGCGACGTTGGAGTCGTCAGTGGATGTGTAAGTGGAGACGGCACAAGCAATAAGTTGGGGTATTGGAGAAGCGCTCCATGAACAGACGCGGAGTCGATCGAGACAGTTATGAGAAAAGAGTAAAGAGCAGGCTTGTCGTGGAAGCTGGTATTGGACATTTGGTTTATTTTAATTTTGGTGTTTATTTTTTATATTTTTCGTTTTTGTGTTTCCTTAATATTTTATGTTTTATTTTCTTTTTATTTTCACTTTTTTTATTTCAAACGTGCAATTCATATCTCTCCCAAAATAAAGCAATTATTTCTTACCCTTTACCATAATTCGCCTTCCTTTAAAGCGACTTTACCTACATTGCCATCTCCATTCCATCGACATCTACAAACGACGCCATGGCCACTCCTGCCGGCGCCGCCGCGCCTTCTGCAGGCTCGCCGGGCCGCCCAAACTTCCTCATCATTGTCGCCGACGACCTGGGCTTCTCAGACGTGGGCTGCTTCGGCGGCGAGATCCACACGCCCAACATTGACAAGCTGGCGGCCAGCGGCGTCCGCTGCACGGGCTTCCACGCGGCGGCGGCCTGCAGCCCGACGCGGGCCATGATCATGACGGGCACGGACCACCACATTGCCGGGCTGGGCAACCTGGTCGAGTTTACCAACTACACGGGGTGGTCGCGCTTCGACGGCGAGCCGCTGACAGACAGCGGCAAGCCGTTTGACGCGAAGCCGCAGCGCGGCATGCCCGGCTACGAGGGCTACCTCAACGAGCGGGTTGTCACGGTGGCCGAGGTGCTGCGCGACGCCGGGTACCGCACGATGATGGCGGGCAAGTGGCACCTGGGGCTCAAGCCGGAGCGGTCGCCGCACGCGCGCGGGTTCCAGCGGTCGTTTGCGCTGCTGCCGGGCAGCTCGAACCACTTCAACTACCGGCCGCCGGGCGAGGTCGAGCACGGCACGCCGCAGTTTCTGGACACGAGCATCATTGCGCTGCACAGCGAGGACGGCGTCTACCAAGAGCTGGACGCGCTGCCGCCCGACTGGTACTCGAGCAACGGCTACGGCGACAAGCTGGTGGCGTACCTCGAGGAGCTGGACGCGGCGAACGCCAAAGGCGGTGATGGCGAGAAGCAACCTTTCTTTGCCTACCTGCCCTTCTCGGCGCCGCACTGGCCGCTGCAGGCGCCCAAGGAGCACGTCGACCACTACCGCGGCGTCTACGACAAGGGCCCGGCCGAGCTGCGCCGCGAACGGCTGGCGCGCATGGCCGCCCTCGGCCTCATGGACGCGGACACTGAGGCGCACCCCGTGGTCCTGGACGACGGCAAGACGCAGGCCTGGGAGGACCTGCCGGCCGCCGAGCGCGCCCACTCGGCCCGCGCCATGGAGGCCTACGCCGGCATGGTCGAGTGCATCGACGCCAACGTCGGCAAGGTGGTGGCGCACCTCGAGGCGACGGGCCAGCTCGACAACACGCTCGTCATGTTTATGTCGGACAACGGCGCCGAGGGCGCGGCCTACGAGGCATATCCGCTGGTCAAGGGCCCGCTGATGAACCACATCCGCACGCACTACAACAACGCGCTCGACAACATTGGCGCCAAGGACAGCTTCGTCTGGTACGGCCCGCGCTGGGCCCAGGCCGCCACCGCGCCCTCGCGCCTCTTCAAGCTGTACACGACCGAGGGCGGCGTGCGCGTCCCCTGCGTCGTCAAGGGCCTCGGCGCGCAGCCGGCCGCCATCAAGCACGAGTTTGCCACCGTCATGGACATTATGCCGACCCTGCTCGACCTCGCCGGCGTCGCCCACCCCGCGCCGCTGTACAATGGTCGCCAAGTCGCCGGGATGCGCGGCAAGAGCATGGCCGGCTGGCTGCGCGGCGACGCACCCTCGACGCACCCCCCCGACTTTGTCCAGGGCTGGGAGCTGTGCGGCCGCGCCGCCATCCGCCAGGCCGACTGGAAGGCCGTCTTCATCCCCGCGCCCAAGGGCCCCCATGCCTGGCAGCTGTACAACCTCAAGACCGACCCGGGTGAGATCCACGACCGGGCCGCCGACGAGCCCGACCGACTGACGGCCCTGCTCGCGCACTGGGACGCCTACGTCGCGGAGTGCGGCGTCGTGCCCCTGCACCCGGAAATGGGCGCCTACCTCGAGGCCACCGAAGAGCAGATGGAGGAGAACGCCTGGATCGAGTACGAGTACTGGAAGCCGGGCGGGCTCGAGAACCGGGAGGCGTTTTTCCGCACGCCGAAGCGGTTTCCCATGCACGGTGCGGAGGACGTCAAGGCGTAGGTGACGGTCGACGTTGACGGCGAGCAGACGTGCAAGCCAAATAAATTTGAAAATAAAAATATAAAATAAAATAAAGTACAGTCATGCAATCTCGACTCTTGGTGGCTATAGATTCCCAAAAACACTCCCGTTAAAGTCAAACCCCAGACTCTGGTTGATCCAGTCAAACTGCGTCGGCGTCATGGAAAAGTTGAGCGTTCCGTCGCCCCACGCAGACGCCACGCCCATCTCGTTGGGGCTGTATGTTTCGTAGGGATAGTAAGGTTGCGGTGGAGGCTGTACTGTCGGCTGTACTGGCGGCTGTACTGTCGGCTGTGCCGCTGGTTGTGCCGTCTGCCATGGACCGTCCAGGCGCCACTCGTCTGTGCTTTCTGTCGGCAGAGCGGCCGTCGGTGCCGCCAGAACAGGGGAGCGGATCGTCGAGAGGGCGGGCAGCACAGGGGACACAGGGGACACAGGAGACGATGGCTGGTCGTCGCCGTTCCGCGCACCGTCTCCGTAGTGCTGGAAGAGATCGCTCTCCTTGTCGGTGGCCGTCGACGCGGCCGGTGCCAGCACGTCTCTGCGGCAGGCCAGTGCACTCTGGATGCGGCCAAACGTGCCATACGTGCGGAGACTGGGCGAGGCGGCGCGGTCGGCGTGTCTGTGTCCGCTTGTGGCGTCTGCGTCGTCGACGGCCGTCGCCTTCTCCGCCGCCCCCGTGTCAACAACGCCCACGTCGTAGCCGTGCTGCTTCGCCAGCGCGCACACCGAGTAGAACAAGTCGCGAATCGGCACCGACCGCTGTGCAATTTCCGTCCCACACGCCACGGCGGCCGCCAGATACTGGTCGAGCAGCGGGGTCGTCACGCCGAGCAGCGCGTCTTCGTCGCGCTGCCGCTCAATCACCAGCACGCGCAGTGCCAGCGACGCGCTGATCCCCACCACCGGGTCGTGGCCCGTCGGCTGGTGCCGCATGCTCTCCTGAATGACGCGGCAGATGGCGAGCGCATGCTGCACGCGGCCCCGGCGGCAGTCGGCCAAAAAGTCGGCGGGTGGGGACGTCGACGCTGACGTGGACGAGGACGACGACAGCCGGTGCAGCGAGCGCACGTACGATCCGATCCGGTACAGGTCGCAGTAGCAGCCGTGGTACAGGCAGTGGAGCGTCACAAAACTGACGAGCTGCGACGACCGTCGCCGGTACAGCATCTCTGCCGTGAACCGCATCTCCGGCGGCAGCCGCTCCTGCCAGCGGTTCAGCTGGTCTTTGTACGCAAAGAAGAGCGAGCCCGACGTCCAGGGCACGCCGTGTGGTGGGGCCGACGACGACGACGGCGACGTGGGCGACGCGGCGACCGGCGGCGGTGATGTCGTTGTCGTGGTGGCCGCCATGGCTTCGACCACGTGTTGCTTGTTGCGCGGATGGTACGGCATCGTGTAGTCCAGGATGGCCCGCCGCATCGCCGCCAGCTGCACCAGAAACGTCGAGATGCCGAGGCGCGACTCGACCACGGACGCGGCCGGTGCCGGTGTCGGTGTCGGTGCCGCCGGCGACGGCGACGGCTTCTCCTGCGCGGCCAAGCTGCTGCGCAGCGTCGGCATGTCCGTCTCCAGGCCCAGCTGAAAGGCCTGCTCGTTGCACGGCAGCCGCACCTCGATGGCGCCGGCGTCCAGGCTGGCCAGCGGCCGGCGCCCGTTCTCAATCAGGCTCTCCATGACAAAACAGCTCCAGATCAGCCGCCGCCGCGCCTCGCGCACCGTCACCGGGATCCGCTCGGGCATGCCCGAGCGGCTCTGGCTCTGGCTCTGGCCCTGGCTCGGCGCCGTTTGTGCAATCTCCAGGTTCAGCTGCAGGCCATGCGCCAGCCGCACCGCCAGCCCGGACAGGAACCAGGCCGCCACGTGGCTGGCCCGGTGCCACTCGAACCGCTGGAGCAGCAGCAGGGCCTGCAGCGTGGTCGTCGACGGCGGCGAAAAGAGTTCGAGCATCACCAGGCGACGGCACTCGTCGGCCCAGGCGTCGGCCCGTCGGTCGTGCGGGTCGAGGAAGCGGAGCGCGGTGGCCAGGATGACGAGGAGCAAAAAGTCGGGCACCAGGCGATTGTCAAACAGCTGCATCAGCGTCGGCGGGTGGATGAACGAGTAAAAGCAAAAGTAGTGCGGGCCGTCAAAGTAGGCATTGACCAGGCGGCGCTGCTCCGCGACATCGGGCAGGAGCTCGTTGCCGTTGGGACCAAACGTGCCCGGTGGCCGTGGCGGTGCAGGCATGGGTGCGTGGGATGTGTGGGATGCGTGGGATGCGCTGTGTGCTTGCGACGGGGCCAGTGGCCGCGCGCTGGGTTTGGCGCGGGATGCCGGTGCGGCAGACCGTATGGATGCTGGCGAGTTCATGCCGGCAGCGTCGACGGGTGCCTTGCCGCTCCAAGCCGGCCTCCCCCGTCCAATGCCCTGGTTGGTGTTGATGCAGTCGACCATGGCCCGCTGGCATGGCGCACAAGGTCCAGTGGACGACGCTGAGGAGGTGCAGCGGATCTGACGGTGAGCAAGAAAAGAAACAAAAAGAAAGAAAGAGAAGATATCTAATGCTCACAGGGGCCTGGTTTACCTTGATTCTTCGACACCTCTCACAGGCCGTGTTCACCCGCGACCGGTGGGCAATGTCGCCGGCCGGGTACCATTCACAGGCAATGCCCAGGCGCGTGCAGTTGCCGCAGACACCGCGGCCTTCGTCGCACCGGACTTTGCGTCGCCGACACGTCGCACAGCCCGTCCGGCTGACACTGCGTCCGGCGCGGCGCATGGTAGAGGGGTATGTATGTCTATGATGTCGTGGCAAATGCGGTCGTTGGGAAATGTGAATGTATCTTGCATGGGAGAAAGCAGGAGAGACAACCACTGCCTCTGTGTAGGTCGACGTAGGGATCAGCTGCAGGCTTGAGCCGTCACCCAGGGCAGACCTGTAAAGAGCAGCTAATTCCAGGTGAAATTTGGCAGAACAAGGAAAGGAGAGGGCTTCTAATAATACAGTAGAGGGAGAAAGAACAAAAGATTCCAGGGATGAACAGAGGTAGCCAGGGACGACACGGGAGGACAAGAAAGAGACTGTGCCTGGAGACAAAGAGTTCACCCAGAAGGGCGCGCAGCGTTGGCCCCCAGGCCAGGACCCCAAGCCAGTTTGGCAATCGCGTCATAGCACGTAACAGCCGCTAAAACGACAAAAGAGGGGACCCTAGAACCTATTTTAGTCCCTATCAAAAGTGAGGAGCGACTTGTCAGATGAACGGTGGCCACTACGCTAACCCCCGCATTCTGAAGAGCGATGCCCTTTTGGGTCACCTTCTCGTGCGCCCCATGCGGAGCAGGCATCGATGGTGTAGCACATGTACATTCGTACAGCGAAGACCACTATTGGCCAGAAGGTTGTTGTTAGCGACAGGCTCGGCAGCCTCGCACGGCCTGGCCCGCCCGCCTGCCGTGCTGCTGAACAACAAAATTGGGAAAGAACGATCCAATGTACAGCCAGCGAGGAGGAAAACCCTAACAGGAAAGCGTACAGCAGCAGAACAGCCAAAGAACCTTGTGCCATTTGTTGAAGAATGGCCTCAAGAGCAGTGTCAAGCAGAGGGACACCCAAAATATCCCAGGGATATTCAACGAGAAGAGTGCACGCGTCTGTCTTCGACAATGAGAACACGGATCAGTGGACAATAGGCATTGGAAGATCAATTCTCTTGTGAAGCTGTTGATTGTCGCAGTATTCTTCAAGCACCGTTAATGGTGGTACATGATGGCAAGGGTGCCATTCGACAATGGTGCAGACACGGCATCTCCTTTGTTTACATCTACAGAATGCTCTTTGGAGGGCCGACAATAGACCCCATTGTTCCATTCTGCCCCATCCTGCCCCATTCGCCCGCCTTCACACATCTCCCGTAGCATCCCGACTGCTCTTTGTACGATACAATGCGGGCCGTCCGATTGTGAAAACATCACAAAGAAAAGCGATATCGTTTCTGCTCGCCGCCTTCCAACCGCTTAAAGCACGATCTCGCGGCCAGCTGTATAAAGGCCACTTATCCTACCACTCCACGACGATATGTGCTACAACACCATCCCTACAATCAATGCACATCGCATATTCACCCATATTTAAAATCAACGCATCCCGACGGGCATACGCAAACGTTACCGTGAAACGCCTTCCGCTCGAGCCACCATGGACACCGCCACCCAACCCCGGCGTCGACTGAAACCCGGTCAAGGATACGCAGAAAGCGAAGGTATGACGCTCTTTCTGGAGGTGGATCGTGCGGAGGAATGCGTATTCCAACACACCCTGCCGGGGCTTGTCAAGGCACGGTACATTATCGAGCCGAGTTTCGCCAATGAGCTCGTGAACAAAACGGGCGCTGCCAAAGTTGGCGCGCAGTTTATTGTCACCAACGAGCAGAGAGAGTACATCCTCGGTACCCACGTTGTTGACGTGGCCAAAGAGGGTGTCTACGTGAAAGGTGACAATGTGCACGAAGTCACATTCCGTGTTGACAGCGACAGCGCAGGGAAATTGGAAGTCTGGGGTCTCGCCAAAATCAAAGTCTCCGTTTTCGTGTGCGCTTCCGACAGAGACGAACAACGCCTGAAAACGATAGACTACCGTGTCGAAAGCCTTATCTTGGCCGCGGCGTTCATCGGGGTCAAGGCCTGTCCCGGCTGTGATGTGCACCTTAGGCAGGAAATGCAAGGCTGAACCCGAGAGAGTCGACAAGGGTCGAGGGCAGTTCGTGCTACACTATTTCGTTGGCAACGTGGCGAGTTGGACCGCCGTGCTTTTTATTTTTTTCGATTAACGTCTTTTCTTGTGTTATCATTTGTTTGTTTGCGTCGCACATTCGCGTGAGCCATCAACAAGTGCCCAGATTATTTATTTTGCGGTATGTCTCCCCTGTTTTGTTTTGTTTTGTTTTGTTTGCATTCATTGGTCCACAAAGCATTCCCATTGTTCACACAGATGCACGAACACATTTACATCTGTAGATGCCAGAATGCACCAGCGTGAACAAATGGGCTTTTTATTTCATTTTCTTTTCGCGAACAATATGGAAGTTCATTTTATTATCTAGGCTTCCTCTGTGTCTGTTCAAAATTCCAGACATTGCGAACTGCGAACATGTCGAATATTCCCGACCAAGTATAAGATGACGACATCTTTCCGTTCTTGTAAGGACACCATGGGAGGAAAAGTTCCTCACCGCTCCCGTTTCCACCTCCCTCGTACTCTACTCTCCTCTACCCACCACAACTTTCCAAACAAAAGATAAAAACAAAACACTAATAGCCTCCTAACCCTGGCAAGATGGATCCCCCATTTTTCATACATCGTACCTTTGGGTACGACATCCAGATCCCCGAGGATCTACATGCACGTCGGTTTTTCAATCCGAGCATCTAGTGCATGCTCGCCATCCACTCGGTGATTGCCAGTCAGTACTGGCACTTCACCGTGACCGTGCAGTGTAGAGGGATGAGTGGCGCCTTCACCACTCTGGGTTGTAAGACGCAACTTCGCAACCAAGGCACATTGGTCGCCGGCCGCCGCGAGTGGCAAGCATATATGATTGAAGTGTGCGACCAACAATTCTCTTGGTCCGAGGAGGGCACGTCGACTCTTCGTGTCACGCTCGCGGCTGTTGGGCCCCTGGGAAGCGACGTCTTGGCGTGCTATGAGGTCCTGTATGATTGGCTGTCGGACGACACCGTTCATTGAACATTCTCTACGACGCCTCATAAGCTGAGCCAATCGCGAACCAGCCAGATCGTTGACGTGTTGTTATTGTACCCGAGGATCGTTGGGGACACCGAACGCGAGAACAGACGCCGATGAGACCTGCATCCCATCCTGACCCTGACAAACATCATGGGACTACGGCTTTCGGAAGAGTTCTCCTGTTGGACCCCTCGCCCGCGCTCGTCCTCTCCATTGCATCTCGTCACTTTTATTGTTCCACCCTGTTTCGCATTGTTCCGCATCGTTTCTTTTATTTCTTTTACCTTCCGTGCACCGCCAACGATGAGTGCTCCGAGAACACCAGGCGTACGATCCGCCCCAGTGACTACTAATAAAACAAGCCAACAGACCCCGAAAACTGTCGCTAAAAAAATATGAAAACAGACAAAACAATCACCAAAAAACACGAAAACGCAAAAACGAGAAAAAAAAGTAAGTTTGCAGATTCTTTATGTTATCTTCCTTCTGTCGATGTTTTTTTTTCCCTGATCGTTGATTTCCTCTATTGATTTTATTTGACTTTCATCTCGAGCACCAGACTATTTTGATGTGCTATGAGATTCTTAGATGGATACTAAACCGGCCTCTTCTTTCTCCCTCTTCTTTTTCTTTTCTGTTATTCAAAATCCATCAAGTTCCATTTTGACAATCTCGTTCCATGATATTATACGTGACAAGATGCTGCTGACATTTTACAAGACTAAACAGCCCTACGTAAACATCCTCCTTACACAGTTGCCGCCAAAGAAAAGGCAAACGACACAGGCTCCACGGCCGCCAAGAGGTCGGGCCGTACGCCGGGCCCGCACGCGGCCGAGCCAACACCAGCGACACGCGCATCGAGACGCAGCAGCACTGCATCCGGGTCTTCCTGGCCGACCAGGTCACACGGATGCGCCGCTGCGTCCAAGACCTGTGCCGAGTACGGTCCCGCGGCCCAGGAGAAGCTGGGGGCCCGTCCCTCGTTTTCCGGCGCATCGCTCAGCGTGGCACGGAGACGAAGGGGGCCATCACGAGCGGCCGCAGTCATCCAGCGCGTGCCCATACGGTTGCCGTTCTCCTGTGGCACGTCGTACGGCACCTGCAGACCGGCAAGGCTGGCTTCGTAAACCCCCACGCGCAGGCTGCGGTTCTTGTCCGGGTACGACTCGCCGGGTCCCTGGCCGTACCATGCAAAGTTTTGCAGCGACTTGTTCGCGCGGACGTCGAGGCCGATGCGGGGGACGTGGTCCGGGGCGCTGCCAAAGGGCGTCAGGGCGACCGCCACAGCCAGGCCGCCGGCTGACAACGTGTAGACGGTGCGGCAGGTCCAGCCCCAGCCCAGGACAGGGGCGGCCATGACGGTCTCGATGGTGACGGTTGCGGTCTCGCCCGAGATCGCGTGGTCGACCGAGACAACACGATGGAGACCGAGCGTGTCGACACCGAACCGTTTCCAGTAAGGAACGGAGACTGGACGGTCGTTGTCCGTGGGGGCGCGCCAGAAACCGGGAGCAAGTGCTGGTAGCGTTGATGCAGCGTTGGTGGACCCAAGAACGACCACACTCTTGCCACCAGAGCGTACAGTCCATGACGTGAGGCTGCCACGGACGGCACTGAACACAAGTGCGTGCTGGCCCACAGAGGCTGTGATCGTGGATCCAACTTGCTGCACGGTAGCGGTCTGCGTCGTAGCGGACAAGACGTTTGACAGAGGCACAGTCGCCAGGTGGCTCTTCTCTGCGGCGATCAAGTACTGTTGGAAATGGGCAACGTCCTTCCATCCGGACTCTGCCCCCTTGCGGGAGAGCAGCACGGTAAGAAGAACATCGGCGTTGTCCTTGTATGCGGAGTAATCAATGCCGTCCAGAACGACCGTGCCCTTTCCACCGTGCGGTGCAATGTGCGGCAGCGCAAGCTCACGCGAAGCAAAGAGGACATGGCTGTGGGAGTCGCCCGACGAGAAATCCTCGATGCGGTAGGAGAGCGCCAGGTGGCTCAGGTCGATGAAATCGTAGAGGTTTTGGATTGTGAGCGTCCTGTTGTCGGCGCCCGAACCGAGTGACACGCGCACGGGCTGCACCACCGTCTTGAGCTCCACGAGGCCCGGTGTGGGCTGGTGTTGGCTGTTGCACAGGCCGTCCATGACAAAGGTGCCGTCGTTGGGCTCGTCGCCAAAGTTGCCGCCGTAGGCATAGTACGCTTTGCCACCGCCGTCGTCCTTCCACAGGCCGTGGTTGGCCCACTCCCAGATGAAACCGCCCTGGACGCGCGGGTGTGTGCGGAAGAGGTCCTCGTAGTCCGCGAGGCCACCGGGGCCGTTGCCCATGGCGTGAGCGTATTCGCACAGAATGACGGGCTTCTCGTAGCGGCCCGTCTTGGGGTCGACGCCCTCGGTCTCTGCCAGCTTCGCCAGGCGCTCCACGGAAGGGTACATGTACGAGTACATGTCGGCCGTCTCGGCATGGGCATCGCCCTCGTAGTGGACAGGCCGGGAGGGGTCGACCGTTTTGGCATAGTGGTACATGTCTTTGTGGTTCCGGCCATAAAAGGCCTCGTTGCCCAGAGACCAGACAATGATGGACGCATGGTTCTTGTCGCGCTGCACCATGGCTTCCATGCGGTCGAGGTAAGCAGCACGCCACGAAGGGTTGTCGGACGTGAACGCGGCTGCCTTTGGAAAGGTCAGTTTCTTGCGCTCCTCGTAGTCCATCTCCTCGGGAATGTCGAGGGGCCGTGCCACGACGTCGTAGAATCCGTGGCACTCGAGGTCGGCCTCGTCTATGACCCAAAGGCCCAGCTCATCGGCCAAATCCAAGAGACGCGGGTGAGGCGGGTAATGCGAGCAGCGCAGAGCGTTGAGGTTGTACTGCTTAATCTGCAGGAGGTCGTGGCGCATAAAGTCGTCGGGGACCGCGCGGCCGTGCAGCGGGTGGTGTTCGTGGTGATTGGTGCCACGCAAGCGGAGAGACACCCCATTGACACACAGTAAGCCGTTGAGGAGCTCAACTTGACGGAAGCCCACGGTCTGATGGACAGTGTGGGGTCGGTCGTTGCCCGAAACTGGCCGCAGCGTGAGCTCGACCCGGTACAGGTACGGCGTCTCGGCCGTCCACTTGCGTGGACTGGTCACGGGCAAGGCAATCTCGACCGTCGTGGGGGCCGTTGCACCAGCATGAACATGCACGGATGTCTCGCCCACGAGGGCGCTTGCGTTTTCCTTGTCCAGCAGACGCAGGCTCAGTGTAGAAGGCTCGACGGTGCGCACTGTCACAGCACCGCGCAGCACTGCATCCGTGTACGTGGCGTCCAGGTCGGTGTGCACGAACCAGTCGTCGATGCTCGTCGTCGCCGAGAAACCAAGCAGATGCACGTCGCGGAATATGCCCGACAGCCACCACTGGTCCTGGTCCTCAATGTACGAGCCGTCGGACCACTGGTAGACCTGGACGACCAGCGTCACCTCCTGTGTGTGGGCTGCGGCAGCCACCGCCTCGGTAATGTCAAACTCGGCGGCGTTGCGCGAGCCTTGGGCGTAACCGACCAGCGAGCCATTCCCCCAGACATGGTACGCGCTGTCCACGCCGTCGAACCGGAGACGCAGCCGCGGGCCGCCATCACCCGGGAACTGCTCCGCCCATGACGATGGCACCGAAAAGACACGCCGGTAGGTGCCCGTGGGGTTCGTAGCAGGGACATAGGGCGGCGCGACCGGGATGGGGTATTGCACATTGGTGTAGTGCGGGATGCCCCAAGCGTCACCGTGGCCACGCAGGCGGCCCTCGAGCTGCCAGTGGCCGGGAACCGTAATCGGGGACCAGCCATCCCCCGAGTCCGGCGACGACGAGCTCGCCGCTGCAGCATCAGGCGCGTTGAGCGGCGAGTCGGCGTAGTGAAACTGCCACTCGCCGTCGCTGCCATTTAGGCAAAGCGTGGCCTCGGGCGGCAGGTAGTAAGTGCGGTGCGGCAGGGCGTTGCGGCGG